CGTGATATTGCTGGAATATTGCTAAAAGCGGCGTAAAACTAAACTCAGTCAGTCAGTCAGTATACGCTGTTAAGATCTTCTTTAGTCACATGGATGACTCTACTAGCTAGCTGCAATCATTCTAATTTCTTTTATAGTCAGACGATACAACAATAGTCCTTAAATAAAGTGATCTTGTTTAAGAAGACACAGAGACAACATAAAGATAAAAACAAAACAGAAAAAAACAGAAGGGCGATATTTGTGTGAAAAATAATAAAAAGAAGTGAAAAATCAAGAAAATGTGTGGGCTTGTCCTCCTCTCGTCCACACCCAGCCATTATTCATCAGTTATTAACAACTTGCACATATATTTTCCATTATATCATTCAGTAACGAATAGAGGATAACAAAATGATTTGTTTACAAAATGTACCGGCTGAGTATCAGTCCAAGCGGTATTTACAATAATTACAAAACAAAAGCAAAAAAGACCATGACAACCTCGTGTTTGCGGTATAACAGCATAGCACATGGAGTGTATAGTATACGAATATGATATTTAACGTTAGTCAGATTCAAAAGAAAGTAGTAAGTCACGAGAAAAGCCCTACCGAGTACAGCACAGAAACGACGTAAAGATTCGGCATTATGACGGGACATGCGCACTGGATGTCAGTTAAAAATATCAAAGCACGTGTACTTTGAGTATAAACACTACAATCGGTTTCACAAATGAGGGGGAGACAGATTGAGTTCAATTTCATGGTTGACCATTAATTTTCTTGTCAAAATTATTGCGCGTGTATGTGGCCACTGCGTTGTGCACATGCATCCAATGCGCTGTGTTTAGGGATGGCGATAAAGAGAAATGATGTTGCGTTCAGATGCCTGTCTTTGAAAAGTTTCATAACGCTTATACTTCCCATCCAAATCAAAAGTTCAGGTTCCCCTACTTCTTTTGGAAGAATATTATTATAAATGTATGTCTCTACTAGACGTACAAGGAGTGTTGGGCTCTGTACCGCCTCGATGGGTTTGTGTGGTGTGGAGATTACCAATAGACTCCTGGCGCTCGGACAAAGTGTGGACAGTGTACGGTGTCTGTGTGGGGTGTACAGTTATACCGCACCGTGGTGGTTGTCCGTAGGGGCCTACGGCAAGACAGCGAGTGAGTGAGTTTAGTTTTGCGCTGCACTCAACAATATTCCAGCTATATGACAGCCAAGACGGGTTCAGTAGAAATGTGTAAATGTTTTAGAGAGTGTCATACCTGTGAATATACAATGTTATTTACAAGGTGGCCAAATGACGCCATATGTTATGTTTAGGAGTACACATAAAAACACATATTCTCGTGGCGGAGTGGATTAGGTCGCTGCGTGCTGACATTGGGTGCCTGACTCTGAGAATGTGGGTTCGAATCCTAAAGAATCTATACTATACTTAGAGCGGGTAACCAGCGACACATAGGCATAGCTGGATGATCGCATGTTGTGAGTGAGTGAGTGAGTGAGTGAGTGACGTGGCATGTAGTATCACGACTCCTTTCAATGCCCCTTCATTCTGAACGAAACATTCAGGTGTGGTCTGGTTGGTACAACAGGGCATGTTCACCCTGCCCATGAACACCCGGTGTCCTACGTGGCATTCAGTGATGCATTCCTGTACTTCTCGTCACAATATCACCTTTCCCACCGTGTAGAACCTCAATTGCATATTTTATATTTTCCCCAGCGCAGAAGTTATGACTATGTATTAAGTATGAAGATTACAGATGCAACCATAAATTATCCGCCCGCTCACAGAATGTATCAACAATGACATGGACGTGATATTTCAGTGTTTAATGAAGCTTGAAACGTTAACCTGTGACACATGCAACCAATTAATTGTCACATGTTCGCAAGTACAAAGAATTGTTTTCGATGAAGTATGTTTGAGTGACAACATGTCCGAGTTGTTACTGTAAGTGGGCTCGGTATCACAACCCTAATTATGTAAGGAGTGAACTATGACGTCATAAACAGATGACGTCATAGGAACGATTATGACGTCATAGGAGAGATAATGACGTCACGACGTCCTTACAGGCAATGTACAACTTTCAAGAGGACGATGAGTGACGAGTCAAGGGGCAGGATGTTATTACAATTTACAAATGTTGACAGTTTGTTCAATCCGCCCTGAGCTTCCTGTCGAGATTGGAGTCATGTTACAGTAGTTTGAATGTGTTGTGATGGCTGTTATTCCTTTTAGATCAATCATATACTCTTTCATAATCATAATCCTTCTCATACGTTTACCTTGATATCAAACTGACCATAGACGAGCAATGAGGGTGGGCCACAGTTCGGTGGAAGTTAGCGATAGTTTCGTAACAGTTTCGTAACACCTAGAAATTAAGAAAATATGAAAAAATCGACACCCATAAAAATGTACGGAAAAGGCAAGAAAGCCTTAAGTTGTTGTTTTCTTACAGTATGTCCTGAAATGCTTTTCTTCAGACCAGGTTGAACCCGTGAAGATCCGGGTTAGAATTAATCTTCAGTAACCAATGCTTTTCGTAAGAGGCGACTAACGGGATCGGGTGGTCAGGCTTGCTGGCTTTGTTTTGACACATGTAATCGTATCCCAATTTGCGTAGATCGATGCTCATGCTGTTGATCACAGGATTGTCTGGTCCAGACTCGATTATTTACAGACCGCCATCATATAGCTGGAATATTGCTGAGTGCGACGTAAAGGTCACACTATTAAAGGTCACAGTATTAAAGGTCACATGCAACGTAAAACACAACTTTGCAGATTCTGATACCTTTCGGTAGGGACTTACCGAAACAAATCATCAAAAATGCAAATTCAACTTATAAGTTGAAAAATAACGGGATGAAAAAAAACGCGCTAAATCGGAGTTCAAACGATTCACTAATTTTCCCCCAGTGCTTGGGTAAAAAGTGGTTTCAACAGCTGGGCTGGGCTGCGCTCATAGCACATGCGCAGTGAAATAGGTTCGCGCAGCTTGGAAGCGGGTTGTCCGGTGTGAGCTATTTTTCTAATGTTTTGTTGATATTTCACTGGCGCGAGCTTTTTAAATGTGATGACAGTAGATAACCGATTTAACTGTTTATATAATTTCATTTTTCTATTTCACCACACGTTCTTCTTACCGAGTCACTTTCTCAGTTCGATACTTAAAAGCAATGTCATTATTTAGCGTTGAGAGAATTTCTAACTGTGATATAGATATGTCGTTGTCACAGACAAAACTCAATGTCTGTTTTATTGACACCTACGTGTCTGCCTGCCTGTCTGCTAATGACAATATTCAATACACAATTTCCATCACTGATCACATGCAATTTGAACTTAACACCTATCAGGCTATACACCGTAAACAAAACGCATTGATTTATGGCCCGAGTTCGGTCTCTGTCACATTATGTAATTACACAGACAGGCAGGTGTGATACTTGTACACATGACATGTTATGATGTCTGTTGACTGCAAAATGTTATACACAAAAATGAGCATGTATTTACAAAATCCAACATCTCTGTATATACACACACAATGAGCCGTGAGGGCATCTGCAAATGAACCAGCCGTTACACTTGAGTCCACACCCACCCGCTCTGTCTGGGTTCAGTATCGCGGCTGCTTCGTTTCGAGGGAAGTAAACCCAAGTAGACAATATTGCACTTTTGATTTGCGATTGTACGCTTATTATTTTGTTTATATGTTTTTTCATAATCAGCAATGTATGTTATATGTCATGAGTAAGTGATAATTGTGTTTTAATTATGTTTGATTTTTTGTTTGCATGTGACCTTTAAACAAGAAACCAACCAACCAAACCTTGGCGCTGACCATAACCCCTATTCATTATTATGAACTTAATACTGCCGTAACTTCCTTACACTACCATGGACTAAATACTGACTTAGCGCTAAGATCGGAAATTCCTTACATATGTCTGAAGACAGGTATCCTAAACAATGCTATATTTTGATGGAAAATCTCGACGCAGCTGGTAGATATACTTGGGCATCATATGTAAAAAGTTTGTTAAACATCAACGGGTTTGGATTTGTGTGGTTTAGTCATGATGTTGGCAATATTAATCATTTTATATCCATGTTCAAACAGAGGCTTATTGTTGTAAAGGGGCAAAGCATATTGAGTAGAATTAATGAATCATCGCATTTAGCTTACTACAAGACCATTAAATCTTTATTAGATGTAGAGTTTTATGTCTCAAATGTACATTTTAAAGAATATAGACGATATTTATGCTTACTTAGACTTCATCACCTACCCCTTCTTTGTAATGTAAGACGAAAAGATGATAATTATGCCTCAACAATATGTAAAATGTGTAACAGTAATGTCCCAGAGGATGAATTACATTTCCTTTTGTCTGTGATGTATATGTAAGGTTACGTAGTATATATTTACCAAATTTTGATCAATGTCCAACTATCATTAAGTTTAAAAAATTAATGCTATGTAATAATACCAGTGTTCTTCTTAAAACTGTGCAGTTTATTAAGCATGCCCTCGTGATCAGATCAAATGTGTGTAAATAATGTGTATATTGCCTTGTCTAAAATGATATTTTGTATCCTATGATTGTACATGGGCCGATGGCCTACTTACAGAAAATAAATTCATTCATACTAAGTTCTGGGGTAGCGCTAAGATCGTAACTCCCGTACAATAACATGGACTTATTATTTGTGTAGCGCTAAGATCGTAGCGACAGAGTAACAAGTTTGTTAGTTCAACTCTTTGTTCTAACAGTTCAAGTTAGGGTTAGCCTTAGCGAAGGTTGGTTTGTGAAGCTGGGCCCTGCTACAACATATAACATATTCAAGAGACAAGAATAGTGTGTTGATAAAACACGTGAATTGATACAAATCATCGATACTGATCATCGATAGTGATCGCTCCTCCTCCACATCTACAGTAGAGTTACTCCTCTCACTATCGTTGTCTGCAGTGACTACAGTCTGCAGCATCAGCAACATCGTGTACGGCTCACATATCCTGAAGCTGGGGCCTTCTCCTTGTCATCAGGGCCAGATCCTACAAACAGGTTGTTAAAGCATTTTAATGATTATAAAATCATGGCAGTTTCTGAATATTTGGTTAAACATACAGCTTTCATTATACCAAAAATATTAAATGACTAATCTTTATATCAGATCGGGTGGGATGGGGGAAAATTGCATAAATTCCGTTACATCACTGTGTGGAGGAAAATAATACAGATGTCCGTATCGCTGAAATATTTCCCTTTGGTAAAGTAAACAGTCGAAAGAAGTGTTAATCTGTAAGGCATGCTTGAACAATGACAACGAGTCTCAGTGGAGTAGCCTCGTGCTTAAAACGTTCGCACGTGAGGCTGAAGAGCCGGGTTCGATTCCCCACATAGGTACAATGTGTGAAGCCCATTTCTGGTGTCCCCCAGTGTTTGCCCATAATCCTGAAAACCTGCAGGCCCTAATATAAGACCCAGAACCATAAAGCTACGATATAAGTAATTCCAAGCAAACAAAAATGTGACAACTAACAAACTGAGTTAAAGAGTTTAATTTAACTCTAGTGACTGACTAGTCTTCATTTACAACAAAATATAAAAAAAACTAGAAATTATTGAATGGCATTTTCTGAAAAATAATACTCCCAGCTACTGGGGATGAAAATGCTGCCATCCATAAAGGCCATCAGGAAACAAAAGTTGTGGGTCCGAGTGGTTTTCAGTCTTCTTCGGGATTTAAGGACCGACGTTAATTTCGAGCGCTGGTTTCCCCCGCCATATTGTTAGAATATTGTTAAAAGCGGCGTAAAACCATACCCACTCACTCACTCCTGAGTGAGTGAGTCTAATCTGATCAAGACTAACAACTAGTCTCTGAAATGAACATATTTGAAAGAAAAAGTAACAGCGTATAAGAAGATAATTATAATGAATAGGAGCCGTGGAAATCGAGACTAGCATGTGCTTTCTTGGATATATACTATCAAAAAAAGAAACGCATAGGTGATTTGTATTTTAAAAAAATCTATTAATTACCTATTGTGATCAAACAATCGTCAAAATATGTAACAGAAGTGTTGATAACATGCGCGAGAAAAAATCGATTTTACCTGAAAATGTTGATTTTGATGAGATTTCTCACAAGGATTAAAAAGGCATCGCAAGAACGCAACAGAAATCACCTTCCAGTTGAAATTGTGCAGCAAAGAGCATGCACTGTCTGGCAATAAATATCCAGATTACATTCGGAAATTGGCAATCGTTTTGAAGGAGTTTCAAGGTCAAATCACTACGCCACGTCTTGACTCTGCGACAAGGAACATCGCCATTGAAAGAATGCACGCTGGAAATTACCAATCTTCTGTTGCCAGGCGTCTGAATGTTAGTCTGAACACGATATCACGGCTTGGCTGCTCGTTACAACCAAGCAGGTATAACAAATGACCGTCCCCATAAAGGCAGACCTAGAGTTACAACTGCCGCTCAAAATCGGTACATCCGGGTACTACATTTGCGTGATCGTACTGCGTCGGGTGAGAGCACAGCAGCCAGGATGCCTGGACTTCGGAGGATATCCAGTCAAACTGTACGGAACAGGTTGAAAGAGATTGGTCTGACAGCCAGGAGACCCGACGTCAGGACCGTGCTACGTCGTCACCATCGCTCTCAACGTCTCCGTTATCTAAAAGTATCCACTTGGTTGTATAGACATTACTTTCTTCTAAACTGGTGTAAAAATTCATGCACTAAAGTCTTTTGTGGACGAGTTATACATATTTGAAAATACAACATTTTCGCAACAGATTTCTGACCTATGCATTTCTTTTTTTGAATAGTATATCTGTTTCAGAGTCTTTATGACACACTCAATCTAATCAGGACCCACAGCCTTTTTATAGTTCTGGGTCCTTAGGGCCTGTAGCTTTTTGTTTATATTTTTCGACGGATATAATATCTCAGTTCGACTTACAATTAAACAGAGACACGGCAACGTTCGCAATGTTTACATTCGCACAATGCATCCGTGGAATGTCGCATGACTAGTCAGCTTCATCTGGATGTAATGATCTAAACTTACGCTGGTTGTAGACGTCCCACGTTCCTATTGCCCCACATGGTTTACGTTAATCACGGATGTAATTAAAATAAATTAGAGAAGATATTTAACCCGAGCGTAAACCGTCATCAGTAGTATATATAATGGAGATTCTGCATCACTTTCTCCTATGGCATTGTTTACGTTAAATAATGCCCCCACCGAGGGTTATTAATTTATGTCACTGACACCGTCGCTTTTCTGTTTGTTTTCTGCCTTAGATTTATTGTCGGTAAGTACTAAATTTGGCATCTCAGAAACTGTTATAGTTCAAGGACGATGGCGGCTGCATACAATGCTATAGTGGAGACGTATACACATGGAATGAGGATTCGCTTTTGAACAGGCGTATGTGGACAAACATGCATACACGGTTTTATAGGAAATTCCTGTTTCTGTTATTGACCCAAACCGTGTTTTATTACCAACCTCTTGCTGTGTACCCTCCGTGTCACAGCCGCGGGGGGTTCTGACAACCTCAGGGAGACAGCGGCGGGGGGTTCTGACAACCTCCGGGAGACAGCGGCGGTACAGGAATGGTACCAGAAACCTTGGTTCAACATCACCGACACGGTTCATGCCTGAAAGTAATGGGACTATCAAGAAAACCTATCCTTCAGTGTTGGAGGAAGGGTAGTGTGAGTGTTCAGGTAGGTAGTGTGAGTGTTGGTGTGGGTAGTGTGAGTGTTGCGTGGGTAGTGTGAGTGTTGGTGTGGGTAGTGTGTGTGTTGGTGTGGGTAGTGTGAGTGTTGGTGTGGGTAGTGTGAGTGCTTGGGTGGATAGTTTGAGTTTGCATTTGACATATTTACGTACTTGAGTGATTAGTGGAATGTTGTTCAGGACGAAAAGGTTGTGGAGTGTCTGACATCAGCATTGTTGTTATCTACACCCGGAATAGACACGGACACAAAGGGACATTCAGACCAACTGCTCGCTGTACCACTCAGGATCTCATCCAGTTGTAAGGTGTACATCACAAAGCCTATACAACGGCCGCTTGTTTTGCAGACATGGTGTATTGACAAGGCACGAGGACAACGCCATTCAAAGAGCGTGATTAAGTGACTGAGTAATAATTCTGTGATATTTTATGTTTGGTCAATATTGCAGCCATTTAGCCATGACAGGTGACCTCACTGACCGCTCGCCCTTCCTGATATTCCAGTAAGTGATTGGTTCCTCCAGGAGTACCTCCAGGGCGGCATCATCAACATAGGATGAATACCTAGTGTAGCGCTCACAAACAAACAACAGACGTATATTACCTGTCATGGCGCTGACAAGGAGACCGACTACCACAACCGTGGTTGCACCAATAGCTGAATACCACAGATAGGACACTGTGAACAGGGTGGAGATACCAGTACTGAAACATGGTAGAGAGGACACTGTGTACAGGGTGGAGATACCAGTACTGAAACATAGTAGAGAGGACACTGTGTACAGGGTGGAGATACCAGTACTGAAACATGGTAGTGACGACACTGTGTACAGGGTGGAGATACCAGTACTGAAACATAGTAGAGAGGACACTGTGTACAGGGTGGAGACACCAGTACTGAAACATGGTAGAGAGGACACTGTGTACAGGGTGGAGATACCAGTACTGAAACATGGTAGAGAGGACACTGTGTACAGGTGGTGATACCAGTACTGATACATGGTAGAGAGGACACTGTGTACAGGTGGTGATACCAGTACTGAAACATGGTAGAGAGGACACTGTGTACAGGGTGATATACCAGTACTGAAACATGGTAGAGAGGTCAGTGTGTACAAGGTGGAGACACCAGCACTGAAACATGGTAGAGAGGTCAGTGTGTACAGGGTGGAGACACAGTACTGAAACATGATAGAGAGGGACACTGTGTACTGATACATGGTAGAGAGGTCAGTGTGTACAGGGTGGAGACACCAGTACTGATACATGGTAGAGAAGTCAGTGTGTACAGGGTGGAGACACCAGTACTGAAACATGGTAGAGAGGACACTGTGTACAGGGTGGAGATACCAGTACTGATACATGGTAGAGAGGTCAGTGTATGCAAGGTGGAGACACAAGTACTGATACATGGTAGAGAGGTCAGTGTGTACAGGGCGTGTAACAGAGAACCTAATGCTTGGAGATGAAGCTACAGTGATGTCAGTTAGTGACAGACAGCAGTGTAGCAGGGGAATGTGGCAGACGCTTGTTTCACGATGCTCTAGAGGGTTCAGCAGAGGAAGTCAGGTGTTGTTGTCATCTCAACAGCAGAGTTTCTCACTCCAGTGTGGCCGCTCACATAATCACACATCATCGTTGGGCGTCGAGACATTTTTCCGCGCAGTTTCAGCATACTCACTATTCGACAGGAGCTTGAGCCGTTGTTAGGTTTGAGGACGTTGTTGTCGCCATGGAGATGGTGCTGTTGGGGATGCTGCAGTTGTGCGTCGGGTACTGAAGGCCAGACGGTGTTCCCACAACGGTGTAGGCCCCTATAGAGATCCAGAGAGGGAACACCAATCCCAGCACACCGCCGACCACTGCTCCCTGTAGAACATAATACACCGTAAACAGGAACACCGCCGACCACTGCACCCTTTAGAACATAATACACCGTAAACAGGAACACCGCCAACCACTGCTCCCTGTAGAACATAATACACCGTAAACAGGAACACCGCCGACCACTGCACCCTTTAGAACATGATATACCGTAAACAGGAACACCGTCGACCATTGCTACCTGTAGAACATAATACACCGTAAACAGGAACACCGCCGACCACTGCTACCTGTAGAACATAATATACCGTAAACAGGAACACCGCCGACCACTGCTACCTGTAGAACATAATATACCATAAACAGGAACACCGTCGACCATTGCTCCCTGTAAACCATAATACACCGTAAACAGGAACACCGCCGACCACGTCTGCCTGTAGAATATAGTACACCGTAAACAAGAGCATCAGATCCCTGTTAAAGTCTCGGTGACAGAAATAAGACCAGATTATACACCGTAAGGTTTGTTGTTAGAGGAAAAGTCTAACCATCGCATGTATTAATCGTTGAGGTTTTAAAACCGTGAACATTTAAACTTACAATCCAGTTGGCCCACGGGAAGAACACACCCAGGATGAACATGCCGAGTATCGGCCCCGCTGCTGCACCCGTGAAGCTGAGACACACCTGGTAACATCACAACATGTTAGGCGGAGACACATCTGGTAACATCACAACATGTGTCACTGAGACACACCTGGTAACATCACAACATGTTAGGCGGAGACACATCTGGTAACATCACAACATGTGTCACTGAGACACACCTGGTAACATCACAACATGTTAGGCGGAGACACATCTGGTAACATCACAACATGTGTCACTGAGACACACCTGGTAACATCACAACATGTTAGGCGGAGACACATCTGGTAACATCACAACATGTGTCACTGAGACACACCAGGCAACATCACAACATGTTAGGCGGAGACACATCTGGTAACATCACAACATGTGTCACTGAGACACACCTGGTAACATCACAACATGTTAGGCGGAGACACATCTGGTAACATCACAACATGTGTCACTGAGAGACACCTGGTAACATCACAATATGTGAAGCTGAGACACACCTGGTAACATCACAACATGTGTAGCTGAGACACACCTGGTAACATCACAATATGTGTAGCTGAGACACACCTGGTAACATCACAATATGTGAAGCTGAGACACACCTGGTAACATCACAACATGTGTAGCTGAGACACACCTGGTAACATCACAACATGTGTAGCTGAGACACACCTGGTTACATCACAATATGTGTAGCTGAGACACACCTGGTAACATCACAATATGTGAAGCTGAGACACACCTGGTAACATCACAATATGTGTCGCTGAGACACACCTGGTAACATCACAACATGTGTAGCTGAGACACACCTGGTAACATCACAACATATGAAGCTGAGAGACACCTGGTTACATCACAACATGTGAAGCTGAGACACACCAGGCAACATCAAACCAAGTGTTGCTGAGACACACATGGTAACATCACAACATGTGAAGCTGAGACACACCTGGTAACATCACAACATGTCTCGCTGAGACACACCTGGTTACATCACAACATGTGAAGCTGAGAGACACCTGGTAACATCACAATATGTCTCGCTGAGACACACCTGGTTACATCACAACATGTGAAGCTGAGACACACCAGGCAACATCAAACCAAGTGTTGCTGAGACACACAGGTAAATCACAACATGTGAAGCTGTGACACACCTGGTAACATCACAACATGTCTCGCTGAGACACACCTGGTAACATCACAACATGTCAAGCTGAGACACACCGGGTAACATCAAACCAAGTGTTGCGGAGACACACCTGGTAACATCACAATATGTGAAGCTGAGACACACCGGTAAATCACAACATGTGAAGCTGAGACACACCTGGTAACATCACAATATGTGAAGCTGAGACACACCGGTAAATCACAACATGTGAAGCTGAGACACACCTGGTAACATCACACATGAAGCTGAGACACACTTTGTAACATTAGAACATGTGTCGCTGAGACACACCAGGTAACATCAAACCATGTGTCGCTGACACACACCTGGTAACATCACAACATGTGGAGCTGAGACACACCTGGTAACATCGCAACATGTGAAGCTTAGACACACACCTGGTAACATCACAACATGTGGAGCTGAGACACACCTGGTAACATCGCAACATGTGAAGCTTAGACACACACCTGGTAACATCACAACATATGAAGCTTAGACACACACCTGGTAACATCACATGATATGGAGATGAGACACCTGGTTACATCACCTGTAAAGCTGAGACAAACCTGGTAACATCACACATGAAGTTGAGACACACCTGGTAACATCACACCATGTGAAGCTGAGAGACACGCGGTGACATCACAACATGTGAAGCTGAGACACACCTAGTAACATCACACATGAAGCTGAGACACACCTTGTAACATTAGAACATGTGTCGCTGAGACACACCAGGTAACATCAAACCATGTGTCGCTGAGACACACCTTGTAACATCACAACATATGGAGCTGAGACACACCTGGTAACATCGCAACATGTGAAGCTGAGACACACCTGGTAACATCACAACATATGGAGATAAGACACCTGGCGACATCACCTGTTAAGCTAAGACACACCTGGTAACATCACATGTAAAGCTAAGACACACCTGGTAAGATCACATGTAAAGCTGAGACATACCTGGTAACATCACATGTAAAGCTGAGACACACCTGGTAACATGACATGCAAAGCTGAGACATCACAACACCTGGTAACATCACAACATGTGAAGCTGAGACACACCTGGTAACATCACAACATGTGAAGCTGAGACACACCTGGTAACATCACAACATATGGAGATGAGACAAACCTGATAACATCACAACATGTGAAGCTGAGACACACCTGGTAACACCACAACATATGAAACTGAGACATACCTGGTAACATCACAACATATTTCGCTGAGTCACACCTAGTAACATCACGAT